ATATTGACTAAAAAATAAACACGTTGAGTAGATATTTACTTGACTGAAATAATAAATTTGGAAATTTTTTTATTTTTTTTAAATTAATCATAAATTTTTCTGCGGAAAATGATTTCCTTCAGTTTCTGTTGAACTTTTGGCACAAAAACATTTCAAATTTATGATTTCAGTCTAATAACTATTTAGTCAACATGTTTAATTTATGTCAATAATGATACGTATTGATAAGTTCGATTCCAAATATCTCAAGAAGCAATTTTTACTAAGAGACCTTTTACGTAAAAAATGTCGCCAATGTATATTTTTTTACTCAACAGTTTTATACAGGTACGGACAAAAAGTTATTGCTCTTCAAAACAGTTAAAACACATGTAGGTGGCGCCCCCTAAAAATAGAAGTTATATTGACCTCAAAATCAAATTTCTCATATCAAAAAACTTCCAGACACCAATTTTCATCCATATATTGACGTTACTTGAAAAATTATTTGGAAAAAATCGAAATAAACATGAAACTTCTATACCCTGTATATCCGAAACTAAGCATTCTAGGACATACATTTTTATACAAACTTTTTTACTTATTTTTATCTGCAGAATATGCTGCCGAAGTTTCCGGAATACAGTTCGGAACACCATGTATAACTATTCAATTGTCGTAAGAGGACAAAAAATATTATTAAAAATTATATTAATGACTGGGGTATATTAAAAATTCAATTCATGGCAACTTTTTGGCAAAAACTGTATAATATGAAACTCAAAGGCAGGTTAAAATACACAGTAAATTTTATTAAAATTCCATAGCTAAACCATAACTAAACATTGTGGGTAAATACTGAGTATAAATGACTAAAACAATGATATATTGATATTATTTTATCAAAATATGTGAACTGAAATATTAGTAAGTATATAAAGAATGAACAATTTGAAACCCATGGAAATTCCAATTACCCGAAAGGATATACGTTAAATTTTACGATAGGACGTAAGATAAAGAAATAATAAAATGTCACGTTTCACTTGTGTAATTAGTTACATGCTTTTTTATAATACGCTTTGTTTCTCGCAGTTGTGTAATATCTGAGAAAGATTTGAGTAGAAGCACGTTCTAAAACGTTTTGTTTACAATTCCATATACAAGATGTTAATAAAAAATAATCGTTTCTTGTAATATTGGGTACATATTAAGTACCTACTGTTGCCTGAACAATATTTTTATTCTGTTTACTGAATTCAGAAAAATTGAAATATTCAAATTCAATTAGGATTGATTGAGGTATTCAGTTGCTTTCGGTCTCACTTCCTATTTCACCGGAAATGGCTACAACTTTTGATTTTAAAATATCCTCGGTATTTTTTACGTCATTCGATAGAAAATGACATTCTAAATAGAAGGGCATATCATATGTCAACTTTGACATTTTCATTAAAAAAGAAGTAGCATTATATTTTCAATTTAGAGTGCCATGACCATAAATGTAACGGCAATTTGACTCGAAATTCCAAGTATGTGATACCAAATTATTCGTAAAAAAATGTCTTTTCCAAATATGCTAATGAGCCACCCTCGCTCCATTTGAAAAAATTGAGTTATGATTGAAAATAAGATTTGGACATCTTTTAACCGGTCAGGACGAGACACGAAAAACATCAGACGATCAAATCTATTTTTCCAAAGCTCCTTGATTAAAAATTACTGTTTTTAATACAGCCATGGCACGCTAGATTTAAATTTAAAATACGATATTCGTTATGGATATACGTTAAATTTTACGGTAGAAGATGAGTAGTATTAAATGATGTAGTATGCAAAAATTTGCAATTATATCGTTAGTCATAGTGTATACAGGGTGCTACAAATTCGAGGTACGAGCATTACTATCTCGGTAACCGTAATAGATACGAACATGGTTAAATTGGGACAAAGTTACGCTTTGGGATGTTCACTAAGATGCCATCAAAATTTTATTTAAAATTTCAAGGATTGCTGAATTTTTTGGAAAAAAAAGTTTTTAGAAAGCCAACTTTATTTTTCTGTAATCGATACTTTAGGAAAATATATATACTCCAGGGTTGTCGCGACTAACGTCGCATCCCCGCCTAACCGCCACCTGTTACGATCAAGAACATCTTCATTTTCCAAGTTACAGTCCTCCATTGCCCTTCTGATGGCCTCATTTCAAGATCTTCTAGGCCGTCCTCTTTTCCATTTTCCAGGAGGTGACCAGCTACGGTAGGGCCATCTTTGGTGTTCCATGCGTAGCAAGTGTTCAAACCACTTAAGGCCCCTCTGTTCGTCTCTATCCACTATTGTCTGTGTGGCATCCATTTTGGCTCTGACTTCCACGTTCCTAACTCTGTCCAGTTTAGATACTCCCACATTGCGTCTCAAATAGTCCATTTCGAGTGCATTCAAAGCTCGCTTTTGTTCAGCTTTTAAGGTCCAAACTTCACACCCATAAGTTACTACCGACTCCGTTAGAACTCTTCCAATATGTACTTTTATTGATTTTTGGTCTTATGTTTTTGTCCCACCAGATGCCATTCAGTGCTTCTATAATCTTCCGCCCTTGTTCTAGCAGATACTTCTGTTTTGTCCAGTCCCTTTCTGGTTATAAGTATATGAAATATTTAAACCATTCAACCTGTCTGAGCTGTTCAGTAATAAAATGTCAAATTTATCATCTGAATTGGTCACTAGATATTCCTTTTTATCAATGTTCACAGTAAGGGCCCATTCCGTGTATGCCGAATTTAATCTGCTCATCATGAATTCAAGGTCGTAAGCATCTTGAGCTATGACCACCTGATCATCAGCAAAATTCAATGTAACCAAACAGTCATCTCCTACAGGGACGCACATTCCCCACACCTCTTCTTCCAGTCCTTAAGAACCACTTCCAAATACAGATTAAATAAAAGAGGCGACAGGGGACATCCCTGTCGAAGGCCCTTGGTCGTAAAAATGCCTCAGACAGTCGGTTACCGCTCTTAGGCTGTGTTATTGTACAACGCCTTAATTAAATTTATAAGAGACATTCATCCACATCAGGTTGTTCTAGTATGTACCATGGTTTAACTCTGGGGATGAGTCGTAAGCTTTTGGAAGGTCTACAAAAGCTAGATGTGTATCTTCTTCACGAGAATTCCGTTTTTCTATCAGTTGTTGGATAGTAAATAGAATATCTATACATGAACGCCCTGCAGTAAAACCACTCTCTCTTCACTGATTTTTTGTAAGTAGATATTTTTTTAACTTTATTTCTAATTATTTTTGTAAAAAAAGTCTGCTGAAGGTGCAATTTACACTAAGACCTCTGTAGTTATTCGGGTCCTTTCTGTTCCCTTTTTTATATATAGAGGAGATGATATAGGCTAACTTCCATTCATTAGGTATTTTATTCCGATCTACAAACATCTGCATTAAGTTTGTTATTTCTGTTATAAGACATTCTCCGCCATATTTTAGCATTTCAGCCATAATACCACCCGGTCCTGGAGCTCTACCGTTTTTCATAGACACCAAGGCTTGTTTAACTTCCTCGATCGATATATTTGTTCTAGATTCTGTAATAGTGACGGCTTCATTGTTTTGTAAAAACTGTGGTCGTTGTTCTATTAATAGGTTTTCATAATGTTTCCTTCAATCACTTAAAGATATAGTTCCCGTCCATCGTTCACACGTATTTTAATCACGCGTAGTTTTAAGAAAATCAAAAAACTAATTGCACATTCTTATAGCCACTTTATCAGCGCTATCTGATAGTATTTTTAGATTTTCAAATTAGCTGATAATTTGTGAGATACAGAGGACAACTTATTTTTTTAAATACGGACCTGCATTTTTTATTTGCAGTTTTGAAAGAACTCGGTCTCCTGAGTACAATGGTATGCCACACTTGACACTTTTTTTTGTTTTGGGTGCCTTAACAACAAAAAACTATTTAACTAATGACTAAAAATAATTTCAAAGTCCGACTCTGTTTTTTTTAATTATTTAAATCTGATTATATTCATCGCAAGGAATAACGATCAATAATTAACATTGAATAAGGAAAATTGAGCCAATTTGAAGATTCAAATAAATTATATTCAGCAATTTAAGGAATCATATTTTTATTTTATTTTTTATTGTGAATTTGAAATCTCAATGTACGAATCTAATAATATGCATATTCATCGTAGTTATAAATAAAATAAACTACAAACTAGTTTCTAATGCTCTACGAAAAGGTTACCACCCTCCCTATTGCGCAAATTTATTTTCCGTTCAATTTTATTTATAGTTCTTTGAACTTTCTTCTTATGCTGGGATTCGAGTAATGTTTTCATTTGTATATTGTGCAATATTTTATTGCGTTTGATTTTCAATATTCAATGTTTTACCTCACGTCATTGTTAAGTTTGAAAGCTTATCAATATTGTAACGATGAATAGATTAAATATTTAAAAAAACAGAGCCGGACTTGAAATTAGTTTAAATGAATTGTGTTCAAATGTCCGAAATGAAAAAAAAAATTAAGTGTGATATATCATTGTACTCAGGAGACCCGGTTCTTTCAAAATCTGAAATAAAAAATTTAGGTCCGTATTTAAAAAAATTAAGTTTCTCACTAACTGTTTCTCACAAATTATCAGCTAATTTGAAAATCTAAAAATACTATCAGATAGCCCTTATAAAGTTGCTATAAGAATGTGCAATTAGTTTTTTGATTTTCTTAAAAGTAACGACAGGAAAAAATAAAATTAATTTTCAAAAAAATCCGTTTTGTCCAGAAAACTCAGCAATCCTTGAAAATTTTAAAACTTTTTTGATGGCATCTTGGTGAAAGCGCAACTTTGCCCCAATTTAACTATCTTCGTATCTATTACGGTTACCGAGATACCAATGCTCGTACCTCAAATTTGTAGCACCCTGTATAGCTGTAGACTGAGATAGAATTTAATTTCCATGAAGTTTTCCATTGGTCTTTCACAATTCCTTATTTTTTGCAGGTGTTTGTGAGCAACTCACTAGCAAACTTGTACACAAAGATTTCGACGGATACAGACTGGCAGTTAAAATACACAGGAATACCAGTAGTCATCCTCGATTTTGGTGAAGCTAGGGCAAGAGACAAACGAAAAATACAAATTGCTCTGGCTGAAAGAGGTAAATGAAATAATTTTAATACTGTATCGACAAGCTTTATTTCACTATACCGTAACATATTTTTTTAATTAATTAGTCAACACAAATAGTACTCAACTAACAAACTGTTTAATAAATGGCTGCTAGTTTTGGAGAATTAAATGTCCGTCCTCAGGCTACGACAAAAAAAAGGAAAACATGCGGGGTGAGTCAACGATAGAGTAAAGTCCATTATCTCATTTGTTTCGAGGTTTACAAAAAAATATTAAATATAAAAGTTATAGAGGTGGTTCAGATACATATTTTAAAATTATTATACAGTATACAAGGTGCTTCAAAAAAGTGTGGCGAATATAACATAGGCTTTTTTAAATGCAACACCCTATTTTTTATTTTATTTTTAGATTCTGCGTAAAATTCCATAACTTTTTTATATATAATATAGAAAACAAATTTCTTGCAGTATAGGTGTATATAATAAAATTATATAAGGATTCTTGCCACTTAACTGCTGATATAGAAATTTAATTCTACGCTGTGTTTGTCATAATACGGATCAACCTGCTCTCACTACCGGTTTCGGAGCCCTACTCCATCATCAGGTGAGCTTGGGCAGATCCACAAAATGACAACCACAGCGCAGAGATAGTTAATTCCGACTTGTCGGAATGTGTCGGTTAGATATTAAGTCCCGAACGGGAGATAGCGGCCTGTGTGCAATGCTAGTACTTTCGTACCACCGAGGCGCAACTATCGATAGTAAAAGGATGGTAAAAGGCTTTTTTTTCAGGCAAGCCAAATTATAAAATAGAAAACAAATTTCTTGCAGTATAGGTGTATATAATAAAATTATATAAGGATTCTTGCCACTTAACTGCTGATATAGAAATTTAATTTTACGCTGTGTTTGTCATAATGCGTATCAACCTGCTCTCACTACCGGTTTCGGAGCCCTACTCCATCATCAGGTGAGCTTGGGCAGATCCACAAAATGACAACCACCAGCGCAGAGATAGTTAATTCCGACTTGTCGGAATGTGTCGGTTAGATATTAAGTCCCGAACGGGAGATAGCGGCCTGTGTGCAATGGTAGTACTTTCGTACCACCGAGGCGCAACTATCGATAGTAAAATCTGCCCAACCTCACCTGATGATGGAGTAGGGCTCCGAAACCGGTAGTGAGAGCAGGTTGATCCGCATTATGACAAACACAGTGTAGAATTAAATTTCTATATCAGCAGTTAAGTGGCAAGAATCCTTATATAATTTTATTTATATATAATGTTATATACCTAAAATTAATAGTTTTTGTTATATTTAAATTTGTTTAAACAAATGTTAGATTGCAGTGGGTTAAAAAATTGTCAATGATGGCATTGATTCTGAAGTTGGACAACTAAAATTTGGTAGGAGAATTTTATAGAGATATAGAAAAAGACCTATGTAAAGATATTTTAGTTAGATGTTACAGGGTGTTCAAAATATATTTAGGAATTTCAACTACTTAAAACTAAGGAATTTTATTTCTTTTAAATTGTACACCCTATATATTATCATTTTTTCTGATAGATTTTACCAAACTCTTCAACTTTTATTAAGAATGACATTATACCTATTTTTATTACTTTGCGATTTATTCCAATTTTTTCTATTTTTACCCATATTTTTAATACAATTGGGCTATAACATCATAGTTACCATGACAAAAAGTAATAATTATCACAATTTCATGTCTGTTAAGCAAGTTAAGAACAAAATTTGAATTTTAGTTTAATTTGTTGTAATAAGTATAAATAGTAGAGATAATAGTTACAGATTTTCTTGAAATGAATTAGTCAATGTGATTGATATACACGGACAAACAGAGAAACCACATTTTTGGTTCAATTACTATATATTATATAATTGCTTTGCTAACTTCTATAAGGATAGATGTATATTATCTAGAAAACATCTTCAGTGTGTAATGGGACAGTTTCATGGCAGTAGTAATATTGGCTTTACCAAATGAATTATAAACCATAATTACTACGAGAAAAAACTTTACTGTATGTCGAAGAAAATTCATATATCAGTAATCTTCAGCAATTAGGTAATCTAGTATTACCCTAATCTGTGGCTATTCGCCTCGACGAAAAATCCCAAGTGTTATCTTTCATAATAAAAAAATACACCAAGAAATTCACTACTGCGATTTAGTTTATTTGAGTAAAGTTAATTAATTTTAACTAATACCGGCAATTTTACCTAATTATGAAGCTACTTGTTAAAGGTAAGTAATAAATAGTTTTGTTTTGTCATGGTAACTATGATTTTATAGGGTAATTGTATTGAAAATATGGGTAAAAATAGAAAAAATGGGAATAAATCGCAAACTATTAAAAATAGGAACAGGACATACTTAATAAAAGTTGAAGAGTTTTGTTAAATCTATCAGAAAAAATGATAATATAATAGGGGTGTCCTATTTAAAAAATTTGGAGATTTTTTAATTAAGTAGTTGAAATTCATAAATATATTTTGAACACCCTGTATCATTTAACTAAAATATCTTTACATATATCTTTTTTTTTTCATCTCTATAAAACTCTCCTACCAAATTTTGGTACTCCAACTTCAGAAACAATGGCACCACTGACAATTTTTTACCACACTGCAATTTAACATTTGTTTAAATAAATTGAAATATTACAAAAACTATTAATTTTAGGTATATAACATTATATATAAAAAAGTTATGAAATTTTACGCAGAATCTAAAAATAGAATAAAAATAGGGTGTTGCATTTAAAAAAACATACGTTATAGCCGCCACACTTTTTTGAAGCACCTTGTATATCTCTCTATACTTGTATACTAAAAATAATTTTAAAATGTGTATCTTAACCATCCCTACAATTTTTATATTAAACATTTTTTTGTAAAGCTTGAAACAAATGAGATAATGGACTTTACTCTGTCGTTGACTCACCCTGTACAAAATGCATTAATGTAAATGCATTTTACAGATTCAACATTATAGTTGAAAACTAAACACTACTTTGTAATACCAAAATATTCAATTTGGATATATATTTTCCTTAATTTTTGGATTTTATCTGCATTGTCCTGAGGATTGAAACTAGGTTTCTTGGAAAGTAGTAGCCATTTAACTACAGGTATTCGTTTTTTTAAAAACTAATTTATATATTTTCTTTATTTTGGATTTATAATGGGTCTGTATTCATGGTCCCTTACGGACTTTCATTTGTTTTTTGATCTAATATTTGCAATCGGTATTTCAATTAAAAAACATAATACATAAATTTTATTCAAAACGTGTAAAAATATGATGTAGGGTAAACTCAATAATTTGTTGTTTTATTTTACATTGTCAATAAATTATATTGGTAGTTTTTAAAACTGTTATAAAAATATATAATTCTAATAAAAATAGGTAAAATATAATAATTATTTATTAACACTAACATCCGATACGCTACTGAAGCTGGTAAATCAAATTTGCATATCTAAATTCTTTGACAAGTAGTAAATAAAAGCAAAAATGCAAGAAAAAATATGTAATTAGTTGATTTTAAGTGAATTTCATAAATGATCGGTTAACTACACGTATGTATATTATACAGGGCGAGTCTTAAATAAGTGCAAATATTTTCAGGGGTGGTATATTTCGACCCCAGGAACACGTCTATGAGGTTTTTTTCGTTAAAAAAAGATGTTGAAAATCGTGCATTTTCTTTTAAATTTCCGTGTATATTTTTCGAAAACTTTTTAGAACTGCCTGTTCACCGCAAATTTTCGGCTTTACGGCTTTACTCTATGGTTACGGCAATAAAAGGGATGCAAATACAGAAAAAATCCGGTGGCTCTCAAAATTTTAAAAAAAAATCTTTTTTTTTTAATTTTCAAACATAAATAACTCGGTTATTTTGGACTTATCTGAAAAATGGTAAAGACTAAATATGTTTCTTTTATCGAGATCTACCAGCCCTGAAAATGTTTGCACTTATTTAAGACTCACCCTGTATAGTCACTTTCTATTATTTCAGAAAAGTTTAAAATATCGTGGTAAAAGGTAAAATATATGTGAAAACAAACATGAATAAAATTAAGAGCAAGTTAGAACTTAGAACACACAACAATCTGAACAGGCACATATCAGATATTTATCCATTGTAGTCCACTCACCTACACATATTACTGAAAGGTATAGACTGCTCGTAAAACGTATTACTTATTTACCAGTTATTAATATTGTTATTGTACTTAAGCGTGTTTCTTTACAAAATATTAATAATGAAATATAGAGAGAATAAACTAATAATGAACTGGAAAACTTATTTATTTTTATATTTTACGTTTGAAACTAATTTATAAAGTAATTAGTAATTATTACTTAATTTATCACTACTGTTTCCAGTTTCCATACAATATACAGGGTTGTTCACCACATACGACACGGAGTATTGTAGCTAAACAATGAGATTTTTACAAATTGTAAGTTTGGGGTTCGTTGAAGGACTATTAGAGCTACAATTTAAAAATATTTTTACAAGATACAGAGTGTCCCAAATAAGTAAAAACTATTATACTTGTATTTTTTTAAATGGAACACCCTATATATTTTACGTGAATCAGATGCACAATGTAACTGTCTATCAAATTGTATTATACTATTTTTTACCCATCTCTTCAAGTGTTCGTAGAAAATGCATTTTCTTATAATTTAGACCTCATTTATCACTATACCCATGGAATATTGACATTTCAGATTTTTTTAAAGCAACATATATGTACAAAATGTATTGCAAGCCCATTGGTATACAAAAAAAACTATTTAAATCTTTGTGAAAGAGTATACCTATTAAATTAATTAAATTTATTAAATTTATTAATTTATTAATTAAATATACCTACCACCATTATTTCCGACCAAAAATTAGTCAATTACATACTTTTAAATTGTTTTAATTAATATAATATTCTAAATAAATGTGAATTTGGCTCAGAAATCAATATAA